AACGCTGTTCATGCACGTGCTCTCTTACAACAAAGACGAGAAAGGAAGAAGGAAACGGTGGCCAAAAAAACCACCGAAACTCCGCCAAGTTTGGATTCCAAAATCTGGACTTATACAAAATCAGCATTCGGAGCCCGTTAAGACTCCATACCCGCAAGGGGGTGGTTCTAAACGTGTGACTCCCGACATAACCTTGGATCGCTCAAAGACAGAAATAAATTGTCCTGAGAATGCCAACAAGGTTTTACACCCCCAGAAGAAGACGCATTCACCAAATGATATCGTCATACCTGTGAGGTCATGCCAACAGACGATACGATTTTTTGGCAATCATACCGATGAATCGTATTATCAAGTTGGGGATGTGAATAAATTTCGAAAAAGAATTATTCGCTCTCATTGTTCCTGTGTCCTGTGCGCGACTCGTTAAAACAGCATTATCAGAATGTGACTGTTTCAAACGAGAAGTCATCCCACGAAAAGTCTCTGTATTATCGAAACCTAAGCCGAGACATTTCCGCAAAAGAAGAGCAGCTGTCCAAAATGATGAATTCCCTGAAGTCACCATCAACGTAGCTGATAGAAGAAAGTCTAAACAGCATTCAAGTGACTCAAATCCCGACTTTTCCCCGAAAGGAAAAGTCAATCCAAGAATTGCTCAAAGGATGTCTCGACTCCAATTAGGAGCCATCAGACGCAGAGATTACAAAAGAATGCAAGAAGGAATGTCCTCGGAGGATGAATTCTCGGACACTTGTTCCGCAATCGCTTCTGATGATACAATGTCTAGCACGGGACAAACCAGAGAAGTATTCACAATCACTGCTGATCAGTTCACTCAAATACTTCAGGAAGCTCTAGCCAAACAACGTGAAGAAATTAGAGCTGAAGTGAAGACAGAAATGAAGTTGGCTATCCAACAAATGAGAGAACTGTTAACTCAACAGCCTCAACCTCCTGAGTCCAATCAGCAATTTGAATCCAGCCACCACACTCGGAATGTTGTAGAGGACAGTGATCCAGAGGTGGATGAAGTCATTATGGCTGATACACCTCCCAATGACAATAACGCTGGGGGTGGTTTAACGGATCCTCCCAATAACGATATTGGGGGTGGTTCAATAGCACCTCTCACTGGGGGTGGTCCAATTATCTTTACTCGACATCATTCAGAAAGAAATGAAGACGATGACGGGAAAATGCAAAAACTTGAAGACAAAATCAATGCTTTGATGACGGCTCAAGAAGTTAAGAAGACGGGTATTCCATGTCCTTATCCGAGGGAATGGGATTCAATACCATACCCGACCAAATTCAATCTGATTAACTTCACACCGTTTGAAGGGAAGAGTTCGCCGATTCAACACTTGATTTATTTCAAGTCTCATTTGGGCATAATCTCTGGAAACGAGGCCTTAATGATCCGGTCATTCGTTGGCACCCTTCGTGGGCCCGCCTTCGATTGGTACCGACGGCTCAAGCCAGGGAGCATCAATTGCTGGGATGACATGGAAAGTTTGTTCCTCAGCAACTTCTTCGATGATGACACCGAAGTGTCAATCGGAATCCTTTTGGATGAGAAGCAAAAAGACGGAGAGTCAGTCGACAATTTTGTCAAGCGTTTCCGTAACATGGCGATGAATTGCAGAGATCCTATTACAGAGGAGTTCATCCTGCAAACATGTCACAATAACCTCTCCATCGATGTCCTGGAAGCTCTGGGGGTCGTGCCATCCACAACTTGGAAGGAGTTAAAATCTCGGGGTGAACAAGCTGAGCACTTTCTTAAAAGAAAGAAAGCTGAGAGAGGCCAACCAATGACATCTGCAATCGTTGAGAATGCGACTCTCGATCCGAGGTTTCAAAAGGAATATTCTTTCGAAGATGATGAAGCTCCAGCCATCTTGGAATACCTCCTCGCTAATGACAAAATCGAGCTACCACCTATTAAAGATCAGGATGGAGCTAAGAGGATTACGGATCCAAACTACTGTGCGTACCACAGAAGGGTTCTTCATCCCACTGAGATTTGCTTTGGACTCAAAAACAAGATCCAAGCCCTAATTGACTCCGGCGTCATAACGACGAAAGAAGTCGAGTAAAGACGACCATACAACTCCAGTGAGTGCACGAGTATAAACTGTTTCCTCACACTCCAAAGAGTATATGAGTATAAACTGCTTCTCGATTATCCAACTGAGTACAATGTTAAACCCGGTTTCGCAAAGGAAGCTGGGGGTGGATAAATCATATAACGGGAAGTTCCTGGAGAATCTTATATTCTTAAGGATAACCCGAACATGCGACTGAGGATAACGTACTCCTCGTTACACCCAGTTTTGCAAAGAAAGCTGGGGGTGGATAATTCATGTAACGGGAAGTTCCCGGAAGAATGTTAAATGTAATATTCTTAGGGATAACCCCGATCATTATGAACAAAGTGATAAACACTAAACTCTTACTATAACTTCTGAATACTCTTTTGCTGAGATGAGATTCGATCACCTCTTTAGATCAATCTTCCCTCACAAAATTCCCATTTTGGTCAAACCTTTAAACAGTTAGGACCAAAGCCAAAATCCCCTCTCGATTCGTTCCATGAACGAGAGGTCCACAAATTGAACGATCAAACCTTTAAACAGTTAGGATCGTCTCAAATTCCCATCTTGGTCAAACCTTTAAACAGTTAGGACCAAAGCCAAAATCCCCTCTCGATTCGTTCCATGAACGAGAGGTCCACAAATTGAACGATCAAACCTTTAAACAGTTAGGATCGTCTCAAATTCCCATCTTGGTCAAACCTTTAAACAGTTAGGACCAAAGCCAAAATCCCCTCTCGATTCGTTCCATGAACGAGAGGTCCACAAATTGAACGATCAAACCTTTAAACAGTTAGGATCGTCTCAAATTCCCATCTTGGTCAAACCTTTAAACAGTTAGGACCAAAGCCAAAATCCCCTCTCGATTCGTTCCATGAACGAGAGGTCCACAAATTGAACGATCAAACCTTTAAACAGTTAGGATCGTCTCAAATTCCCATCTTGGTCAAACCTTTAAACAGTTAGGACCAAAGCCAAAATCCCCTCTCGATTCGTTCCATGAACGAGAGGTCCACAAATTGAACGATCAAACCTTTAAACAGTTAGGATCGTCTCAAATTCCCATCTTGGTCAAACCTTTAAACAGTTAGGACCAAAGCCAAAATCCCCTCTCGATTCGTTCCATGAACGAGAGGTCCACAAATTGAACGATCAAACCTTTAAACAGTTAGGATCGTCTCAAATTCCCATCTTGGTCAAACCTTTAAACAGTTAGGACCAAAGCCAAAATCCCCTCTCGATTCGTTCCATGAACGAGAGGTCCACAAATTGAACGATCAAACCTTTAAACAGTTAGGATCGTCTCAAATTCCCATCTTGGTCAAACCTTTAAACAGTTAGGACCAAAGCCAAAATCCCCTCTCGATTCGTTCCATGAACGAGAGGTCCACAAATTGAACGATCAAACCTTTAAACAGTTAGGATCGTCTCAAATTCCCATCTTGGTCAAACCTTTAAACAGTTAGGACCAAAGCCAAAATCCCCTCTCGATTCGTTCCATGAACGAGAGGTCCACAAATTGAACGATCAAACCTTTAAACAGTTAGGATCGTCTCAAATTCCCATCTTGGTCAAACCTTTAAACAGTTAGGACCAAAGCCAAAATCCCCTCTCGATTCGTTCCATGAACGAGAGGTCCACAAATTGAACGATCAAACCTTTAAACAGTTAGGATCGTCTCAAATTCCCATCTTGGTCAAACCTTTAAACAGTTAGGACCAAAGCCAAAATCCCCTCTCGATTCGTTCCATGAACGAGAGGTCCACAAATTGAACGATCAAACCTTTAAACAGTTAGGATCGTCTCAAATTCCCATCTTGGTCAAACCTTTAAACAGTTAGGACCAAAGCCAAAATCCCCTCTCGATTCGTTCCATGAACGAGAGGTCCACAAATTGAACGATCAAACCTTTAAACAGTTAGGATCGTCTCAAATTCCCATCTTGGTCAAACCTTTAAACAGTTAGGACCAAAGCCAAAATCCCCTCTCGATTCGTTCCATGAACGAGAGGTCCACAAATTGAACGATCAAACCTTTAAACAGTTAGGATCGTCTCAAATTCCCATCTTGGTCAAACCTTTAAACAGTTAGGACCAAAGCCAAAATCCCCTCTCGATTCGTTCCATGAACGAGAGGTCCACAAATTGAACGATCAAACCTTTAAACAGTTAGGATCGTCTCAAATTCCCATCTTGGTCAAACCTTTAAACAGTTAGGACCAAAGCCAAAATCCCCTCTCGATTCGTTCCATGAACGAGAGGTCCACAAATTGAACGATCAAACCTTTAAACAGTTAGGATCGTCTCAAATTCCCATCTTGGTCAAACCTTTAAACAGTTAGGACCAAAGCCAAAATCCCCTCTCGATTCGTTCCATGAACGAGAGGTCCACAAATTGAACGATCAAACCTTTAAACAGTTAGGATCGTCTCAAATTCCCATCTTGGTCAAACCTTTAAACAGTTAGGACCAAAGCCAAAATCCCCTCTCGATTCGTTCCATGAACGAGAGGTCCACAAATTGAACGATCAAACCTTTAAACAGTTAGGATCGTCTCAAATTCCCATCTTGGTCAAACCTTTAAACAGTTAGGACCAAAGCCAAAATCCCCTCTCGATTCGTTCCATGAACGAGAGGTCCACAAATTGAACGATCAAACCTTTAAACAGTTAGGATCGTCTCAAATTCCCATCTTGGTCAAACCTTTAAACAGTTAGGACCAAAGCCAAAATCCCCTCTCGATTCGTTCCATGAACGAGAGGTCCACAAATTGAACGATCAAACCTTTAAACAGTTAGGATCGTCTCAAATTCCCATCTTGGTCAAACCTTTAAACAGTTAGGACCAAAGCCAAAATCCCCTCTCGATTCGTTCCATGAACGAGAGGTCCACAAATTGAACGATCAAACCTTTAAACAGTTAGGATCGTCTCACTCTTTTTCTTAGCTCTCTGTTTTCAAGAGGGGAAGGGGAGTCCGAAGTTTGAAGAGATGGAGGTAGAAAAACAATGTATTCTTAATCTATCATGTTGTTGTCTATTCTTTTTCAAAAAGTTAATTTTTGTCTAAATTTTGATTGGTTTGAGTAATATGCTCTTTTAGCGAACACTAGTTTATGTATATCATGTACATAAGAGTTAAATAGAGCTGCTGCAGCAAATGTTAGGATCGAAATGAAAATATTTTCAGTTTTGGTTAAGAAATAGCTACTTAGGAATAGTAATTGGATTTTTATTGTGTATGAAGAAAAGTACAGCACTTGTTTCATCCAATTTGCATGTCAGCTCAAAAAAATTGCAGATAAACTAACACTTGATTTGTAATAGTAATGCATTTATTTTCTTTGTCTGCTTCATTTTGATGTATTACATCCCTGCAGATGTCGCAGGGAAGAGCGAGGAGGGTCGTGCATTGTAGCCGGTGTAATCAGTCGCGGGGAAGAGCCGGTGTAATCAGTTAGAACTACTTGTGCAGCTCCTTTATGAAACAAGGTTTCTCTGCAATAATGAGAAAAGTTTTCCTTTATGAAACAAGGTTTCTCTGCAATAATGAGAAAAGTTTAGATTCATCATATAGTCTGTGTTCTTTCTTTTTTAGCTTGTAGAGAGTTTTGAATTATAGTGAATATTGTGATGGGTTCTTGTATGGTGTGCCAAATTGAAGGCTGTGGAGGAAATTGCATTTTAGTAGGGAGAAGAGCATTGATTAAGTTTACATATGCATGCTGGTGATACATAATGTAAATGATGAAGCATTTTTTTGTGTTGAAAAATGATTAAGTGTACAAAGCGTTGCTTTTTCATCCTTTTCCTGTCAACTATTGCGTGGTTAAGTTTATGTGTTTATCAATTTTTCTTACATGCATGATCGATTTTAAATCATAACATTTTATTATATTCATGATATATATTTAAGATGGTAAGATATTGGCCATGCCATCAGATATCAATGGAATTAGCCATGCCATCAGATATCAATGGAATTAGTCCTAAACAGAATAGATAGCAACGCTGATGGGCTCAACAAAACAACCAAACTCAGAGGCGTTGATGTTATGTTACAACTTGTATTTTGGAGGTGAAAGAGGCGTTGATGTTATGTTACAACTTGTATTTTGGAGGTGAAAAAACACCATAAGTTCTTAAACGGGTCATTCGGATTATATGGGTCGGGTCGGGTAACCCGTTTAATAAACGGGTCGGGTCATGTTGACCCATTTATTAAATGGGTCGGGTCGGATCACACTTATACGGGTCGGGTTAACTATGACCCGACCCGACCCGACCCGACCCGTTTGCCACCCCTAGTTTCCGGTTAACTTCACCATCATTTTTTGTTTGGTTGAATCTTTGAAAAGCATGAAAGTGTTTATACACTACTTATGACCCCTAAAATCAAACTCTCTTCAAGGAAATTTTTTTTCTGAAAAGTAAAAAAAAAATGTCCTTAGGTTTGTTAAGAGCTTTTGACTTCTCACGCGAACAAGATCTCATTTGCGGCACCGCGGCATTAACTTTATTTCTCCCCTTTTTTCCTTAATTTCTTTTTTAACAGATTAATTTTTTCTTGGAGCTTTGAGCGGCGTACCTCTTTTTCACACAAAACATTCTTAGTCACGTGCATCTTTTGGGTTTCTTGGTCACGGCAAACTATAGAGTATGGCTACAAACCCTACTAATTCCTATATTCAATTGGAATCTCATCCTTCATCTGACCATGAGAGGTAAATATTTTTATATCATCTATTATTTTCATTAATCTCACAGCTCTATTTTGTTTATTATTTTAATTTTTGATAGGGGCGGTGTAGTTGGCTAAAAAATAAGGAAAAAAAATGAAACTTATTTCCTATAATAGATTCTTTTTTGTGTGTTTGTTTCACTTCTTAAAAGTAAGAAAGGAGATGAGATGAGTTGTCACCATATTATTGGATGATGTGGGTGATTTTTAAAAATAAATTTCATGACTTGTTTTGAGGTTGTTTGGTTGCCTAAAAAAAATAAGGAAATCAATTATAAGAAATTTATTTTCTATAATAGGTTCTTTTTTTGTGTTTGGTTCATTCTTAAAACTAAGAAAAGGGATGATATGAGATAAGTTATCATTATATTATTGGATGATGTGACTCATATTTAGGAAAACTCATTTCATGATTTTTTTAGGAAATGGATGGAAATCAAATTTTAATGAGATGAGATGAGTTGTCACCATATTATTGGATGACGTGACTCATTTCTAAAGATGAGATGAGATGAGATGGATGATGTGACCTATTTCTTGTGTCTGGTTCGCTAAAAAAACATGGAAAGTAAAGAAAAGAAAACATATTTTTCATAATTGGATGTTTTCTTGTGTTTGGTTCACTTCTTAGAAGTAAAAAGGAGATGAGTTGAGATGAGCTGTCACCATATTATTGGATGATGTGAGTGATTTTTTAAAAAAAAAACTTATTTTGAGGTTCTTTTCTTGTGTTTGGTTGGCTAAAAAAAAGGAAAATACTTATAAGGAAAAGACTTTCCTTGTTTAGGTTCTTTTCTTATGTTTGGTTCATTCTTAAAACTAAGAAAATAGATGAAATAAGATGAGTTGTCATTATATTATTGGATGATGTGACACATACTTAGGAAAATCAATTTCCTTATTTTTTTTTTGGAAGAAATGGATGTAAGGAAATTTTTAATGAGATGGGATGAGTTGTCACCATATTATTGGATGACGTGAGTAATTTTTAAAGATGGTAGTAGATAAGATGAGATGAGGTGAGGTGAGGTGAGTTGGATGAGATGAAATGAGATGGGATGAGATGAGTTGTCACCATATTATTGGTTGATGTGAGAGATTTTTAAGGGTGGAAAATGATGGAAACCAAATTTTATTGATTTCCATGTTTTTTTTCTTTTTATTGGTTTTTAGGAAACGAACCAAACATCCCCTAAAAGTAAAAAAAAAAAAAGATGAGATGATATGAGTTGTCACCGTATTAGTGAATGATATGAGTGATTTTTAAGGATGAAAATGAATAAAAATCAACTTTTAATGGTTTCCGGAGGCTTCTTTTTCTTTGATTTTAGGAAACCAACCAAACAGCCCCTTATACAGGATCTACCCGAATAATCTAATAACATAGACTTACACGCTGTGAGTCCCATAGTTAAAAGATGCGTGTCAATAGAGGTTCTCGACCATCAAGAATGCTGAGGATCTACCCGAAGCCAATGACCGCAGCAGCCAAAAAATCACACGTGCGGAGTCAACGCCAAGGTCTAAGCATGTCTCCACCCAAAACCAACGCCACGTAATCCTGTATCTCCGCACTCGGCAGCCTCTCTCCCGATATAATTAATACTCTCTGCCCCCCACCTCAAGCTCCGCCGCTTTCACTCGAGCATTTCAACGAACACCGCGCCGTCGAAAACCCAAAATGCTCCTCTCGAAGCCCTTCGTCTCTCCCAACTCCCCTCATCTCCTCTCCCCCAAAAACCCTAACCCTAACCCTGGTTCCTTCGCGCCAAAACCCACCCTCAAAGTCTCAAACTCCTAGCCGCCTCCCAAACCTAACGCCGCCTCCTCCGCCCAGACCGCGGTCGACATCCCTCGGAGTCCCCTCCCTTACATCCAGCTGTTCGCGGGAAAACGATCGTCGTCAAGTACGGCGGCGCCGCCATGAAGTCGCCCGCCCTCCAGTCCTATCGTCACCACGACCTCGTCCTCGAGCTCTCCTGCGTCGGCCTTCCGCCCCGTCCCTCGTCCACCGCGCGGCCCCGAGAATCAACTGCCTGCTTTCCTTCCGCTAAGGCCACCAGCTCCCAGTCCTCAACGGCCTCGCGCGTCACCGACGCCCTCACCATGAGGTGCGATCGAGATGGGTCCTCGTCGGCACAAGGTCAAAAGTCCGTCGTCTCCCCCTCACAACCTCGCCAGGAGCCACCGCCGTCTGCCTCTCCCGGCAAAGGACGCCCGCCCAATCACCGCTCCCGCCAAGTCTCCCGACGCCGCCTCCGCTCGGATTCGTCGCGACGTCGCCACGTGTCAAACCCGCGATCCTACGCCCCGCTCAGTCGTGACTGCCACATTCCGGTCATCGCGTCTGTGGCGAGGATTTTGAGGCGGGCAGGGCTACAATGTAATGGGATACGCAGCGGGGAGATTGCGCGGCGGATTGGGACGGAAAAGTTGATACACTTTTGAGGATGTGGCGGGGATTTGAGGATAAGGGGACCGATCGGGCAGTTTGGTGAAGGAGATATGACATTTCTGGGGTTAGAAAGATGGTGAGTGAGGGGAAAGTTGCCGGAGGGATGATCCCCAAAGTGAATTGCTGTGTTCGGTCCCTTGCTCAGGGGGTGAGGACTGCTAGCATTATCGATGGGAGGTTGCCGCATTCGCTGCTGCTCGAGATCTTGACCGATGAGGGAGCGGGGACGATGATCACCGGGTGAGATAGAGGTGAGGGTATGTTTTAGCAATGGAAAATTAACTTTATTAAGTTAGCTTTGTTTTGAAATTCTCAAAGGAGGATTGAGTGCTTGTGCTTGTATTAGGGAGTTGGGTTTTGTTTCTCTGATGGTTTATGTATCTGTAGTCGTTTATTATGTCATTTTATCTTATATCCGATAATAAGAATTTTGAAGTTTGATGAATGAGAGAGCGAGCTTCATTGGGTTCACATCATATTGCTGTTGTCTCATTTAAAATATGACATTTCTTACCCCCCCTACTTTCCTTCTTAACTTGTTCCATTGTGGCTTGATGAGTTTTATGAAGCCATCTTAACTTATTAGAATAATTTTCGAAAAAGCCGCAAATTTTGAAGTAAGATCAGGTTCTACTTGGGCAGTAAGTTTATCTACAGGCACGTTCAGGAACATCGGTAGGTTGAGTTTTGAAGTTCGGTATGAACTATAATGAGGATACATTGTTTAGGGAAGATCATTTAAGAAATACTGAAATAGCAAGAAAAAGTTATAGACTGATGCAATAGTAATCGACATGAGCAGTTTTGCTGATACATTCGCGACCGGTTCCTTCTTGCAAAAGTGGTCTGTTCTTGTAATTTGGAATGTCAATAGTTAAGAAATATGGTTAAGTCCAGGAAAAGGAAAACTACACTCAATTCTAGCCATTTGTGTTAGATCATGCCCTATACTTTTTAGTGATGTTCTTTATGTATCGATGCCCTTTCGACTGTGATTTTGGGATGGTAGAATGCTATACCATCGATTGAGTACATTTGGAATGAGAGAGCTTAGTTATCTACATATAGTTCTATGGAAGGCCCAAGCGGACTTTCTGACTTCTATTTCAGGCTCCACTTAGTTTTGACAGTCTTTCTGCTTGGATAACACCGAGTATTGAGAGGTTTCAGCATCAATCTGAATAATATTCTTTCTGTGAATCAAGACCGCAAGCCTCGTCATCATATAAACTCATTTTTGTTGAGCAAATAGACGTGGTGAATCTGCAGGTCGTACTTATAAGCCCCCTTGTACTTACCTTTAATTTTGGTCCGTTCTCTGTGAAAAGAGAGCATCAAATTCATGTCAAATTACTTTTGAAATGTAGATCATCTTTGTTGATCGTCTAGGGCTTTTTAAAGTTTTTCCAGCAGATGAAAGAAATAGTTCCTTTCATATGCATGGTCTATATGATTGCAAGACTTTTCGAGCTGGTGATGCTACAATAGAATTCAGTTTGCAAGAGCATAGCGGAAGCCAAAAATGCCAAATCGAGAAGCAAGTTGGCCCACGGAACCTTAGCTTAATACCGGCCTAGGAAACCCCGGGTCTTGGGCCACTCCTTTCGTAGTCTGATCCAAGTGAATAGCACAGGTGTTGCAATACCTGATAATTAGAAATTAGGGATACACATTGCCATAGACATGGATCAACCTCGGCCTTTTGAGCCAAGGGTCCAAGCCTCAACCACTAGGCCACTTGTGGGTGGTGAATCCCATTCTCCTTGTTCCTATACAATATTAGTTAAATACTCCAATATCAGGACCTTTAAACTTTCAATTGGTTCCCCTCGACGGGTTTCAGCTATTCCAAATATTTTATAAAATCAAGAATAATATAGTTTAAGTTGAAATTTCCCTTGTCGTTGCAATTGGGAGATTTGAACCCACAATGCCCGAAAGGGAATTGTCGTACTGTGTGTAGCCACTGCAAACTTTTTAGATGTTAAACGTAGAAGGAGTCGATGATTTTAGACGCCCTTGTATGTGAGATACACCCTCCAATCATTTGTTAAAAGGAATCATGGAGGCATATCCACATAACTCCTTTTCATGTTGAATTACTAGGTTTCAGTGATATAAATCCTTATTAATTCACATATTCTTGCTAGCCCTTGGTATAATTTAAGAAGCTCCATTATCCTGATCTGTTTTATTTTCATTTGTTTCTTCAATCTCCATTGCCCCCATATTATCGGTGATTCTCTCTGCACATTTTAGATTTCCCTTGTACACTTTTTCTATTGTTTCTGATGAAGGGGAATTGGCATCTTCATGTTTCAAGATTGTATAACCCCTGCTATTCATATTTTGCAATTTTAGCAAATGTACTTAGTATATATGAGGGAGTGTTCTTTCCGGTACAAAACTGCTAGTGTTTCATGTGGGATTTGAAATTTCATGGCGCGAAAGTGTTCCCAGATTATTCCATGATCTTAAACCGTAATGTAAAATAAATTTCAAGGGAACTAAGTAACGAGACGGTCACAGAACCGCCCTTCGTTGAACTTGGCTTGGAGTCCTATTCGCGAGCTGAGATTGAAGATGGAAAGTATGAGATACGGTCACCATTGATGGAATCATTAAGGTTGGGTGAAAACCTAGGTTATTTGATTTGCAATCGATATCGCTTCTATTTCTCTGTTCCTGTGATATGTAGCACTGGGGTTTGATAGACTGATACACGAGTATCTTTTCTTGTATTCAATCCAAAATCTATATCTGAAATTTCTAGTTGTATTATCCTGGAGATTAGAACTATTTTGTTTAGCCTTTTTTGCTTCATCTCTAGCTCTACGAGATGAGTATAATTTCCTACAGAAAATCTATCATCTAGCATTTCCTTTCACACTTTCCTAGTATATTGATGCGCTTATGCAGTAAAATACAGCAAGAAACGTACAACCAAGGTAGAAATTAAATATAAAAGAAAGCAATAGTCCTGTTTCTTGGTATATATACAAAAATATTCAAATTATTCTTGCATAGCAACACCACATTTACCATCATAGTCATCAAAAAAAGATGTAAAACCTAACTGCACAAAAACTAAAAAGTTTCATGTCGGCGAATTTTTGCTACTAAGCTTTCTCAATGCGGGTCATCACTACAACAATAAAGATGACAACAGAAAGCATAAATGAAGATCTCACAAATTCATCAAAGGGCTCTGACTCCTCCTTTGCCGGAGAATGAAATATCTCATTCACAAGCTTTGAGATCTTCTCAAAGAATTCAGTTAACTTCCCTTTCGTACTGTCCATAATCCACCTCAGTATTCCTGCAGGGGTGTCATCATTTCCATCTGGTGACTGTAGTTGGCTACTGCTTTCAGCTGCACATATCACATTGGACACAAATGAGAACAAAAAAAAAAAAAACAAATTGCTGCAGTGTTGATTAGAAGAAAATTGCACAAAAGTTTAGGGGGGAAAGGAAGAGATATAAAATATAAAGTAAAGGTAAATACATGTCTATTTTATAGATTTTGAATGACCCTGGGAGAAACCATTAAAAAAGAAGTGAATAAGAAGTAGAAGAACAGCAACAAAATAAAAAATATATAAAGCCTATATCGTCAACTTTACAAGGTTGGCTACATGAATCCTATTTTTCCATCCAAATGTTAACGGTCGTTTTCTTTGTTAAATTAAACTAAACAATTAATACCTTAACCAATATTGTCTTATGTCTATCCCTAGACCTCGTCAATCTTCCACCATGAGCCTATCAGTACTCATCAAAATAATTTAATGGATAACAAGAAACAGATAAAGTCAGTTGTGGAAAAGAACAAAGAAAAATCTGCAGTCGGTACTCAATAGATTTGCTTTAGGATTCTCGCATGGAATAACATAGAATGCGCTTACGACAAATTCTATGCTAAGGGACAAGACTTTTCAAATTCATTTCCTGTTAAGAAATCATCATTTTAAGCCATCTATTATCAGTTCACTTCCTAAGTTGGTCTAACCTTATCTATTCATCATATCAAAGCATTCAATGAAGGAGAAATATTGGGTTCAAATTTACCTATTTCATTTTCTTACTTCCTCTCTCACAATTTTCCTTCTTCTTTCTGACTGCAACTACCCGCAGTGGGCAAGTTCCCCACTAAAATCCAGAAACTCATTCACTTTCTCTTCTTTTTTCCTACATTTTGTTCATAAAATTTCTAGAGAGACAGACTAAGGCCAGTTTGGTATTGCTTTTTTTAGGGTGCTTCTGTGTTAAAGAATCACCCAATGATGTTTGGTGAAAACTTTCTTAGCATGCTTATTAAAACTACTTCTACTTTTAATGTGGTGCTTTTAGAAGGAATTTGAGGATGCTTTTAAAAGTAGCTTCTGGTTTTGTTTAGTTTATATACCATATATCTTTTAATTTTTTATAATGATCATTAATCACAGTTCTACCAAACACCTTAGCTAGTTTTACGTAGTTTTTTATATTTGATTACCAAAAACTGTTATTTTTAACAGCTTATATAAGTTGTTGCTATAAGTTACTTTTATCAACAACTTATTATAAGCTCCAGCAATACCAGACTGGCCCTAAAACTACATAAAACCTAATTTACACTTTCAAAAGGCCCTAATTACGTCTCTCTTGGTGATTTTTATTTCTAGATTATATCATCTTTATGTCTCCATCATTTCTTTGTCTCCATAGAAGTGACCATTTTGGTTTGAACTCTAATGATGATATCGACCATCACACAATGACACAACCAAATATAGATAAAAAGGAGCCAACATAGGGGCACAAACTCTTAACGAGAATAAGCAATACATATTTCTATATATACCTACATTAGAACACAAGAACAAGTGATACAACAATTTATTGAATCAGCCATCACAAAAAGGAATCAAAGGTTATGCAAAAGCATGTAACAAAGGAAGTCATTGATTATCAGATATATATTGACAAAAAAGAAAAGAAACCTCGCAAGAAGTGATCAAGTATTCCTCCATAAAAGTGTGAATTATCTATACTACTATATTAAAAACTTAATGAGGGTCAGAAAAGTTTGAAGGATACGAGAAAATTATCCTTTATCTCATTAAAACTTCATCTCACTAAAGACATAAGGATAATTTGATCTATTTCACACAAAATTCAAATATCTCCCCTACCCCAATATCCACATCCCAACATTGCACCCTTCCATCCATTTGGTCCCCTCCCTCCCTCGATAATTTGATCATTTCACACAATTTAAATATCTCCTCTCCCCCACCATCCACATCCCCTCTCTCTCATTTAAAAAGTAAAAGTAAATTTTTTGTAATAAGGTCCAAAACCATTAAGTTATTGTGCAATATAAATCATTTAACTACAAATTTAAAATTAAAATAATGCAATCACATCACAGGAACTGAAATATGAACATTAGACCATTCAAGGAAATTTCTCGTGCCAAAAGTACCTTCAAAATATTTATCTAATTATATAGTTTCTGGAATGAGGACATAATGGTGGATATAAGGACCAAAATATTTGAAAAATAAATGAGTTTTTAAAAAAAAAATTTAAAAGTTTATATTTTTCATCATTAGAATGTCACCAAATTCAAATAACTTGTATGTATGAATTCCACCAAAATTTGAATTAAACCTCGATAAATAGATACTTTGATTAATCATCTAAGTAAGATACAAGTAGTAAAACACTTGACATTCTATATCAATTTCTACAAATTAAAATCAATGAACTATTATGAGTCTTTTGAGGGACTAATTAAATTAACTTTATAAGAATATTGTATTACTATTATGTTATAGCTATATTTTAATTTTAGAAAATTCAAATTTCTTCATATCAAATTAATTAAAAATAGGTGAAATTCAACTTTTTCTATAAAATCCAGAATAAATCAGTTTTCATGTCTATTGCACGAGTAGTTGCACATACAGTTGTGCTGATATGCTAGCTATATATACAGAAGAAGGATTTGAAACAGAATCTAATTGTTAGAGGCAGAACTGAGTGTTGAAGAATAATCTACATCACAAACCTTCATAAAAAGATTTCTTGAGTTCTTGAACCACATCATTCTTCATGACCGCGTCCCAGACAGCTGGATCAGATGCCAATGCCTTAACCATTCTCTGCAAGCAAAAAAGTCAAAAACTAAACCAGTAAAGAGGACAAGTCATATAGAAATTCCAATATACTTCAATAATATTAACCACGTCAGGAACAAACTGCACTAGCTTGCTTCTAATAGTAAAAGGTTATTTTAACCAAAGTTATCATACATATCTTGTCAATCAGCACTAGTTTGCTTCTGCTGTCATTTAACTCTGATCATTCCACTGATTTATCTTGTGCAGTGAATTTAATGATACCTATATGCAGCACATTAAATCTTGAGATCATAGCAAAAATATGGAAGATGAGAAAACCTAATTGCTCAATAAAGATGCATGTTGGTGTTACTTTTAGCAAAAGATCAGTCTTCATGTCAATGTTGGGTGCCTAGTCTTTTAAAGATTCTACTGTAGTAACCATTACATGTATAGGGCAAAAATATATGGGTTCCTTTAATTTTTGCTTAATCTTTTTGTTTTTATTTTTTACCGGAGCAAGGCAACGAAATTTCCCAAATGACAAAAAAATCTAATAGTAAAAGAGCAAAGCAAGAGAATAATTCAGAGACTACCATTAAGTAAACATCAGTAAAGCGTATTATTGTTTGCTACCTTAAAGGGTGGATTTATTTGGAACATATGAACTGCATCGAGAATGTGCTCGTGTCCATAACGTTGAGATGAATTTGAGCTATAAAGATCCAATGCTGGCTCGATCCAATCTGATTCTGATTCGATCGACCAGTTGCTTTGTATCACATCTGTTGAGGTCACCACTTTATCAACTACATCCTCATCCACAGAAGAAGAGTATTCAACTTCAACATCCGAGAATGTAAGTGGAAGAAATATCCTAAAAAATGGGAACTATATTTCATGAAAGGAGAAACCAACATGTAATCTAATCTTGTAGGAAAATTGTAAGGATAGGATAGAATTGAAATATTTGAGGAAATGCACTGAATGTTGAAACTACAGAGAGACAAAGGATATATAACCTAAATAAGCAATTCTACTGAAAAACCATGTTTTCATAAGAGTATAAATCAAATTCTTGTAATGGTCTCTTGTAGATTACAAATCAAATCAAACTGGACTGCCCATTGCATGGATTTAATGGGTAACTACTTCTAGACATTGGTTACTCATCTTTTAACTTGATATCTCAAATCAAAAGCATATGCTATGCTAACAGTGCAAGTCTCTTAACAGGGCTAGGCATGTTAATAATTAGTTTTAACTCATGCATAAATCAAAGAGATAAAAAAAACAGTCATATACTATTATTTTCGGCACCATCCAAAAATAATCTCATTGCTGTATATGATTTAATACAGGAACATAATCTTAGAAAAGTAATGGAAACACTAAAAAAATAATGTTGTACTATAATGATGCATTGCCATGTAATTGGTAATGAAGTTACAGTTCATGTTGAAATTAAGGTTCAAATTCCTTATTGCACCTCAACAACAACAAAAAAAGTCATTCACATACTTGTAAAATCTTTTAGCACTACTAGCACATTGACATGTGCGATGCACGTGCAATAGTAATAAATTGTTACAATTTATCTTATATTGACATATTAATAGTTTGATGATGATTTAATTTATGTAATTTTATTATAAAGTTCGATGTAGAAAATGTATCATAAACAGTCATTTAGCAATTAAATTTACTCTTATTGAGGATAATTAATTGGAGTAAGTGATTAAAATAAAAAAGAAAGAGATATTGCAAGCTAATTGAACGAGTACTATCATTTCATGATTTAGAGTATTCTAGAAATAAGAAAGCGGGAAAGATGAAGGAAATAAACATTGCCCTTGAAAAATTACAGTTTTAACTATGTAAGTTCAAATTCTTTTCAATTTAAAAAGTTCTATAAGAGATGAAAAGAAAGGAAATGGAAAAAAAAAATCTTCTTGGAAGATTACGATTTTACCCTCCAAACTACGATAGGAGTGGATGAAATATCCTTCATTCCTATAAACTTTCACTATCCCCCATAATGTTATTTATATATTAATATTTATATCAGTTAAATTCAATAGGGTCATCAATAAAACTATGAATAGGCTTCAATCTCTGTGAAGCAAGAAGAAACACCTTTCCTCTGCTAAAGACCATTTTCAGGATGACAATTAAACTTCAAACACCAAGTAAAGCTACCGCTAATTGGTAGCAGTACTAATCAAGATTCAGAGTTAGTTTTTTTTCCAGTTCTTTTCTTTTCATATCTTTTAATTCATTCACATGATAACATACAAACTTCCATCCATAAATTTGCATCTCGGCTGTCAAGCGAAAGACCAACTTCATTCCAAATATCTCATCTAGGCCTAATATGAAATCCAAATAATAAATAAATAAATTGATTGCATTCAAAATAATAAGAAAAAGAGCTTTTTTTATAATCCATCCGTTTCCAAGATCATTCATATACGAAAATACCCACCCTGACTTATTTTTAAACCCAGGGTTCGTTATTTAACCCTTTTCTTATAAAACTTACTAAAAATTACATTACCCTAACAGATATTAACGTACTTCAGGTTTAAAAATAAATCAGGATAAAAGAATGGGTTTAATCTAAAACAAAAAACCGCTAACAAAGATTAGAGCTTGCTTACTGCTGAATAGTATCAACGGCCTCCTCGGCCTCCTCCTCGGTCGGCGCCGGCCCAAAAACAACCCTCTCCCCAAACCCTAACCCCTCATCACCTCCCACCGTTTCCCACTCATCGTCCTCGCCACAAAAACAACTCAAAGAACCCCTTTTTATCGTCGTCGGCGACGCAGGAGGAGACGAGACCGAGACGACGCGCGAGGACTTGGCGCCCTTCGCCGTCGACAACTTCTCCTTCACGCCGGCGGCAACTGATCTCCCCACTGACCGCAGCATCCGCGATCCCATCATCCCCGATGACCGACGCATCATCTTTGTTGATGTCAAAGTTGCTGCCTTTTTTTTAACTTTTAAATTTTTTTTTTGGGGGGTTTTGATAGGGTTCTGGGTTTGTTAATATTATATATAGCTTGTTATTTATACAGAGTGGATAAGGATTGGGTCGAGGAAATGGGAGGGGGGTTGGGAGTAATGAATTTGGTGTGAAGCTGCCGCTGCTGCCGCTGCGATTTTTGTCTTTGGTTTTTAGAGGGAGGAGGGGGGGGGGGGGTTTTGGCTGCCGCTGCTGCCGCTGCGATTTTTGTCTTTGGTTTTTAGAGGGAGGAGGGGGGCGGTGGTTTTTGGACTGAAGTTTCGATTTGGTTTATTTGGATTTTGCCCCCGCCCCCCAAACCATCTTAAAAATAGAATGGTTAGTGTAATATATAAATTATATTTAACGTGGGGATTTATTGCAATCAATCACTTTCTGTCAAGATATATGAGTTAGAGCATTTCCAACAGTGATCTTAGGTTTTCTCTATATTTGAGGAGCAAATCTCTCATCATAGGAAATAGGGAGCCAAATAATGAGCAAGTGCTCTAACAATGCTTCCCAAATGGCTCCCTATCTCATGTCCTAGACTAAATATAGGGAGTAGAAGGGGGGAATTGTTCCAACAATGCTCCTTATGTTGAGACTAAATATATGGAGTTATTTTTTGTCTTTGATTTAGAATACATTAATGTCTTACGGACCCAAATAGGAGACCCAAGGCATGTGACATGTTAGGTGTCACCATCTGGTTGTATGATGCATTATTCATGAACAGTGCATCATGCAACCGGATGGTGACACCTCACATATCTCATGCCTTGAGTCCTCTATTTGGGTCCTTGTAGCAACACCATTTGGAATACCAAATCATAAGCCATATATTTAGTCTTCATTATAGGGAGCTTGTTGGAGCCAAAATTTCCCCTCATACTCCCTAATTTTACTCAAGGACATGAGATAGGGAGGCTCTTGGAGATGCTCTTTAGGGGCTGTTTGTTTGCTTGTTTTTAAGAGGGAAAGAACCTGCCATTTTGTCAGAAAATGGCAGGTTTTCACCCTCAAAAAAGTGGATCCAAACGCGCCCTAAGAAAACCTAAATATGAAAAATAAAATAAAAAGAGTCACGCGCATTGGATGTGGGGTTTTAAGGGTAATTTGGGATTTTTTTAGTAAAAAAAATTGATTGAGAAGTGGTTGATTGTAGCCGAAACTCATTTTAAAGGTAGCTTTCGTATAATTACTATATTTTTAATGTTATTTCTAGGGGAAAACCCATTCATATCCAATTTTTGGGTACGAAAGTGTCAGAAACAAATCTTTGAGGTATCAAAGTTCAAAAATGTATAAACATTGGGTGTATCAAAGTAAAAAATATGTACACTTTGGGCAAAAAAACTGCAAATAACCCTTTGGATTTCACCATGTAGAAGTTTTGTGCAACTCTGCCTAAAAGTTTTGCGGGGTTTGTGTAATTTACACTTTTTATTTTACTCGTCCGTTTTTTTTTACACTTTTTACTTTACTCGTTCATTTTTTTCCCCACCTAATTGTTGTTATTTTGTAAATTATAGTGGTATGGAATGTGGGATTATAGGTATACTCTCCGGTTATATTCCTCTTCAATATATATCCTAAAAACTAAGGGTGTTATCAGATAAGATTTGGATGGGCTTCTATATATGTATTTGTTAATTTACTATAAGATTTGTAATATTTCTTAAACCAGTTTAAGAAATCTACGATTCACTTTACAATTCAAATTTCATAATTAATTAAAATTAAATTCTGGTCATGAATTATCTGGATAACCAACTTGCTTACTAATGTTGTCCTATTCTTTTAGATATTGGTCATATCCATTTATGGCCAACACAATAATGACCTGAACAAATTATCACAAAAAAGTTTTTTTTGGAGGGGTGTTATCACTAAAACTTGATTGGTACAAGGTGATCTTTTTGCAGATTACTTGCTTTCTGATTCTGGAGTAAAATGATATATTTATTGTCGTGATATTTTCACAGCAGAGGAAATAGGCTTACGTTAAAGAGCGAAAAACTTTGCATAAGAAAAGATTTATTTGCTTCTTAGCTTTTAAGCAGTAGAAGATTATATATAGAAAAATTGGTGATCTATACTATTCATGGGAGATTAGATGATTAGTTTGCTAATTCTAGAGTTGGTTCTAATGAGATTCATATCGTCTCTTAGAGCTTATTCATATAAAGTACAATCTTACTCATATAAATTACAAGTAAATCATAATAATGGATATTACGGAACTTTCGGAGAAGCCTACAACAGGTCAACAGCCACGACAAATTTCTAGCTAGCAGTCCGTAGAGGCTAAGGAGAGTAATGGATTCATATTAAATCATTGTTTGAGTGGATTAAAAAAAAAGTTTAAGAGTTTTGTTAAAAGGTGTTTCCTATCTCTTTCTCTCTTCCAAATAATTCATGCCAATAATAAAGTGTCATTTATGTTCTGATGACAGAGACATCAATGGACTTTGTGACAACTAGAACATTATGACTTTATGTTTATTCATCTTATAGGCTGTTTGATAGGTTCTATAATTGAAGGCCATTCGATTATGATATAAAAGCTTACATGATAGCGACAAAAATAATACCTTGTCATTGGTAGTTGTATTTATAGTTTGGTTAGCTATCTATGATTAGTTTTATCATCATTAGAGGTTAACCAGTAAGAAACCAACAGCATATATTATCTTATGTATCTCTGGATGAGCTTTTTAAACATGATTAGTGTTATGGTCGGTCACCACACTAAAATAGAAATATCGGAATAATACATGCATAAGCCCAAGCGGATGTTGGCCTCTTTGTTTTGATGATGTTTAACAAACAATTTACCACTAATGTTGTTTGTCTAGTATTTGTGTTTTTCTATATATTGTAGACAAACAATGTTGTTGGAGGTTGGATAGATTGCGCTTCAACGATGATATCCAAAGGAGGTTGGCGGAATGTCGGGTTGAAGCATTGCTATTCAAAGTTCAAGATCCAAGTTAAAGCTTCATCCGCGAGATTACCAAGTCAAGCTTATTGAAGATCAAGATCATTGCTTGGGTAATTTAGTTTAGGAACTTATATTATGTGTGTTAGTACTTTAAGCTCAATCATACACACACATACACGCTTTGGTTTTGGTTTTGTATATATACAGTTATATATATACATATATGTTTTTGGTTTAATAATTTTCGAGTTTATATATGAAACAAATGAATAGAATTGGAAAATACTATTTTGTTTCATGTTTATATGCCTATATATGATTTCATCTTTAACAAGCTTATATTTAATGAAATCATATTTAGTGTTTTGAATATATTGCATAGAATATGCAATTTTATGAAAATATTTTATTTCTAGGTTATAGACTTCATAACAACATGTTATATCTTTTATCAAGTCTATACAATCATTTCATAAGGTTTCAAAATGTTGTTTAAAGTTAAATTATCAAAATATCAAATTTTCAGGTTTTCATGTTTTGGACTATTTTGTAAAATGATGATATTTTTCATTTCGGAAGTCTTTTTTCAAAACCAGTCGTTGTAGCATGTTTATTATCATGTCTATAATCATTCCCCAAAATTTTACATTTTTTAGAATTTATTTGATATTTTTAAACAGCGTTTTAAAATCAGCAAAACCTGTTTTCTGGAATGTCAGTTTTCGGTCGACCGCACCGGTCGACCGGTAAATTGTTCATTTGCTCAGTAACCGACAGAGAGTTCGTCGGTCGACCGGGGTCGACCGACGCGCTGTCAGTTCTCCCAACGGCTATTTTTCTAGCCGTTGCAGATTTTCTGGTTTGGGCCTTTTGGTCATTTTGTTTGGGGTTTTTGCTGATATTTCCTCTTCCTATATATACCCTCATTGCATTCAATTCTAAGGATATAGAGAATGTTTTAAAATAGTTTAACAAGGGTTTAAACTTGTTTAGTGTTTGTTTAAGTTTGGTTTAAGAAGCTTTTAAGCAATTGAGGGTTTGAGTTTGTGAATTCAATTTCACAACAGCAAGTGGAGATCATCCTTTGGTGTTTGAGCATTCACTCTTCTCCTACCCTCTTGTCATCTTTAGAGAAGTGTTTCTAAACTCATCTAGCAATTTATTATTTTGATTATAATTTCATAAGCTAGATTTCATATTGAGTTTAGTTTAATTGTTTTATTGATACTCTTTGTTCACACACAACCTATTGAGCTTGTTGTATTTACATTCATAGTATAATTTGGGGTTGTGGGTTTGTGACATTGAGAGTGAGCTTAATTGAGTTCTCATCTTGTTTAGAGAACAATCAATTAATTTATATTGTGCCTAATTGTGAGGATTCACTTGTAATACACTTGTACACCGAGAGAAGTGTGTGGTGAGAGACGGGGTCGAATCCAAGAGGAGTGGCGTCGGTTGACGTGCCTAGGGAGAGGTTATAACCGAGCACTTGAGGAGGAGGACACGGGCTAGGACCAACACTTAGTGTGTGAGGTGTGATTGCATAGTGATTGTATTGTGAGGTGTAAACGTTGTTCGGGTGAACGTAGAAAACCCGGTTGTGATAGTGGAGATCTCCTCGAGGTGAGGAGCGGGGACGTAGGTCGTGGGGACCAAACCTCGTAAACATATCCTTTGTTTGTGATTGATTTGGCACACTTGTTTTTATATTCATATCTTACATCGCCATTGTGTATTGCTTGTTGATCATTTTGCCCTATCACATTTGTAGTTAATTTGTTTACCCCTCTTGTTAGTTTTATATCCTTGCACATACATTGTATATATCTCTTTGTTAGGATATATCTTATTGTTTATATATCCTTGCATATATTTCTATCATATAGGATATATCACCTTTTGTATATTGCATATTCTTGCACATAACTCTTTGTATATCTATCTTGCAAGAATATATTTATTAATTAGTTTTAATTGGCATTTAATCGGATTAGATTAGCATAAGACCCTGATCACCCCCCCTCTAGGGTCAAACAGCGGACTACGGTCCAAATCAACGTAGAGGCTCAGAAGCCCAGTCAGAGCCAAGTCCCTCGACTAGACGAGCAGATAAGCCTTATCCGGATCGACAGGTCATCATGACCGACTCAAAGAACGGGGTCAGTCGCCCCCTCGCAATTAAGATAACTCCTTGAGTAGACGACTCGACTACCGAGTCGCCAACTCATAATGACGACTCACAGATCAACCC